ATAACTGGTCAGGAATATCCATAAATATTTTAAACTGGAGGTCTTCATTTTTCTTCTTTAATCTTTGAGGGAATGGTGGTGGGGTTCTGGTTGCTTCTTCTATTGGTGGGGATCTAACTTTTGTTGTGGAAATATTCTGCCAGTCATCAGTATGTTCACCAGTCGAACCCTCATCTTTATCCTTCTTAAGAGGTGATTCCAATTGTATTTCAGATTCTTCATGTACAGTTTTGGTGTTAAGATTGTCTACTTTCTTCCCCTTAAACTTATCTTCTTAGTTGATTTGTGTGCCACTCCTCAAAGTAACTACACTGCAATGCTATTTACCATGAGGTTTAGTGACTTTCGTATCACTAGAGAGATTACCTTGTCGTCGAACATGTAAAGCTTGTGCGATTCTACCTACTTTAGTCTTCAAATCTCTCAAATATGAGATATGACTTTGCAACAATGCTCACTCGCTCATAATGGAAGCTTCATGGTCTTGAAATAAAGCTTTAGTAGTTGTCATAAAATCTTGGAATGCGACTTCTAAAGAATTAGAGTTTGAAGAGATGTTGAACTCTTGTTGTGAATTTGCCATGGCATATTCTATGAAAAGTTGAAGGTTCAATATGATTTTGATGGCAATTCGAGTTACTTGAATTTTTGCCTCCTTGATTACCCTTAGAGAAATTAGGATGCTGACACCATCATGGGTTATAGGTGTTCAATTATGGGTTGCTATTGTTCCTATTGAAGTTCCCCACATAGTTGATAGACACGTGGATTTCGAGGGCACTCACTCACATGGTGATTCTCATTGCAAAGAACACAATGTTTGTTAGCTACCTTTACTTTATTCACCTCACTAGGACATTGGAGATTCTTCAACATTTTTGTAATAGTTGACAATTGAGATGAAACAGAGTCTTTAGTATCAAGCTCGAGAGTCCCATGAGTTCTTCTCCTCATACCAAGTCTTGAAGTAGAAAATTTGTAATAATTGTTTGTTATCCTATCAAGGATATCAAATGCTTCTTCGGGTGACTTGTCTAGTAAATATCCATTTGCTGAAGCATCTAGCATCATTATAGATGGAGCATTCACACCATTGTAGAACATTACAATTTGCATCCAATCGTGAAATTTGTGATTTGTACATTTGGGAAGCATTCCTTTGTATTTATCCCTACACTCATACATCGACTCTTCATTAGATTGACGAAAGGAAGCTATATCATTCCTTAGTTGGGTTTTCATGTTGGGTTGATTGTACCGCAATAAGAAACTTTTGCATAAATCGGTCCATGACACCATCGAGCCAGGAGGTACTCCACTCAACTATGTTGTTGCTCGATCATGCAAAGAATAAGGAAATAATTTAAGCTTCAACACATCCTCATACATGCCTTGTTGTCTAAAGGAGTCGCATACTTCCAAGAAAGAACGAATTTATTGCCTTGCATCTTCATGAGGCACAAGAAACTGTCTAATCGAATTCAACATATTAACACCACCGGTTTAAGCTCAAAGTGGGTTGCCTAAATTTTTCGAGCAACAATCCCAGGATTGAGATTGTCCAACACAGGGGCTAAATGATCTCGAATAGGTCATGATCAAACTACCACCCCAACATTGCAAATTGTTACAGCATTTGTATATGCAGGATCTTGAACTTGATTTTGACCTGGTTGATACATGTTTCTTTGAACACGTCTTCTTTGATGGAAAAACATTCAATTTCAGGTTTAGGAGGTTATAATGATTCCTTGAGTGTTCTTCGGGTCATGCAACAACACAACACTTGAAAAATATTAAGCCAAAAAGAAAAATAAAAACAAGTTAGTATGTATCTACAATAACAAGAAAATAAAATGAGCAAAAACTAAACTTAACTAGTCTTTTCACTTAAGTTATTGCTCGTCTAAACAAAGTGTGCATAGAATTTTAGTTGCATTTAGTTGTATATAGGTTACATTAGCTTGTGGTGGATAAATTTTAATTATGCAAGATTTATTTGGTTTGACTGATGCTGCTGAGGAGAAAGGGTTGTTTGGATTGTGTTTGTGAAGGAAACTTACAGGGGAAGAACATTTCAGTCGTGACAACATAAATTTGCAAAGGCCAACAGAATAGATGAGAACGTGAGGAGCAGATTTATCTCACCGAGGCAAGGTTTATCTGAGGAAGTCTGAAGCAGGTGTGATGAAACAACCTATGTCACAAGCCAGCTGGATGATCTACTTCACATGCAAGCAAGCCTTAGTTATTCTGATAGACGTCTTTCCTTTTTAAGTCTGGACATTTATTTGACAACGGTTATTTAAGGAAACTCCAAAAAGCATGCAAAGCCCTAGAAGATTTTTCCTTATAAAAAACCAGCCATAGCCGCCAAAGAAAGAAGGCAAGGAATAAGAGAGAAGAACTTTACCCAAGGCATGAATAAGCAACTGCAATGCCTCTTCACGGTCTACCCACCGACCTTCCTTGGTGTCCTCCATAACCAGAAGTTAGCAGAGCGGTGATCAGGCCTCAAGATATGGTGATCAATAAGGCAAGCATAATGCTGATTAGAATCATCGCGACAGAGCCCTCAGTTTTGGAAGTCATTCTTCCTTTGTTTAACTCTTTATCTATTTGGGGTTGTACTAAACGTTGAATTTTGGATGATCTTTGATAGCCCCATGAATGTCTTACTTGGTGTTAAACTTTGTGTTGTCTGAATAATATTTTTATGTTTTATGAATGATGAATTATGTTTTGCTTATGACTGTTTTGCTTATTGCTTAAATATTTTTCCTTAACACTGTAAGAGCATCGAGAGATCGCTTGGGGTTTTGGTAAAACATGTCTTGGCATTGTAAGAGCATCGAGAGATCGCCTGGGGTTTTGGTAAAACATGTCTTGGCATTGTAAAAGCATTGAGAGATAGCCTTTTGTCTAGATAGTTATTGATCATCGAGAATCATGTTCAAATGATCTCGTATTGCTCTTGGCCTTGCAACTTGAAGATTGATAGCTACATCAGGTCCTAAATCTCCCATGTTGTGTTGCATTTGGAATTGATTTGATTGTTCTCTAGTTCTTTGGGTGGGCAACCTTTGTCTGAGTGATTGCTCAACTTTAGGGTTGAATGGTTCCAAAGTCTTACCAGAAGATCTCAGGGTCATGCAATAATAAAAACCTACAAATGAAAATAGTAAACTACGTTAGACTAAATAAATAAAATGTGACAGAGAGAACTTGTTATGGCTAAAACAAATTCGTCAGTTGCCAATCCCCGGCAAGGGCGCCAAAAACATGATCGCTTGTAAATGTATATGTTAAGGCAAGCAAATTTGTGCAAGTATACACAATCGATCCAAGTAATATAGGGTAAGTGAGTATCGTCTCCACATGGATTGATAGAGAAATATATTTTCACGACAACTAGAACTAATGTCACAAACTAAGTCCTACTAAGTTGTCAACTTAAGAACTAATAAAAGAAAGAGATGATTTAATGAGTGCAGGAAAGTTTGGTCGAGACAAAATAAATTTGCAGAATGCTAAAGTAAATAAAACAAGATAAGTGTTGATTTAAATCGAATGCAAACAACCTCACATAATCAGACATATCACAGAGAACTGATGCTAAACCCTTGTATTATCAACAATTATTTCTTAGTCTAGAATGAGTTATTATGACTCGCTCAAGCTGCCGGACAGGATTACTAGGTATTCTTAGATGGTTGCTATGGCAATACTCGTCAGCGTTAACTACAATCCGTTATTGTAGCAATACCTCTCAGCGTAAACTATAGGAATTGTCTATCTTACTCTAGTGTCTATCCCTTTTAGTCGATTGAAACCGCTACTTATCTCTAAGGTAGACAAGTTAGAACTTCACCATCCCGAATTCATTCTATTGCTTACGTTGATCTATCTTAATTCTCTTGAATATAAGAGCATGAGAAGAGAAGAAATCATAGGACGCATGGTTTTGGCGATAGAATAAAGAGGGAAAGATATATTTTTCCCCACTTTATGTCTAGACATATATTTCTCATTAATGCACAAATCTTTTCTCTCTAAGAAAGGACAAAACTACCCCGAAACCACCCATTACTTTCCAAAAAACAAACTGCTCAACTTCTTCTTCTTCATCTCGCCTCAACCTCTCATCACTAAGCAAGAAAATGATTTCTCTCCCCATCATCACCACTGATATCAACCAAGAACAATGGTAAGAACAAGGAAAGCCCCAGCCCCAACACAGAGTGTCGAACGTTTCCAAACAGCCGAAGTAGAAGCACACTTCAAAATTTTTCAGAAACGTCAAGTTTATTTGGAAGATGAATTTGTCTTTCCTGCCGAGGAAGAGAAGCCGTTTGGACCGGAGGTGATAGACGTGATAAAGAAACACAACTGGGAAAAGTTTGCTTGCAATCCCAAAGCCGTAGCACCGAAGATGGTACGGGAATTCTACGCCCATCTCGAGGACCCGTCTATCCACACAGTTTATGTTCAAGGAAAGCTCATTTGATTTTCCCCCTTTGCACTCAACCGATACTTTAAGTTGGGAAAAGTGGAAGAGCAGCACAAGTGATTTATGGATGAGGCCAATCAAGAAATGTACGAAGGCGTACTACATGATTTATGCTTTGGGTGGGCCAAGTTCGAAGGGAATGCCCTAACGAGGAAAAGAGTAGATCGTCGAGCACTAAAACCGCAAGTGAAGTTGTGGAACCACTTTCTCAAAGGCAAGCTGATGCCAACATTCCTCAACACCACTGTCCTCGTGAAGAGACTGATGCTCTTGCACTCGATCATATACGGGAGGAAGATCGACGTTGGAGAACTTATTTTCGAGTAGATCCATGAATGTGCCAAGAGGAACCGGGATAACCTTCTGTTTCCCAACTTGATAACCACATTATGTACGAAGAAGAAGGTTCTTGAGAAGCCCTTTGAGGATTTTATTAAACCCAAGAAGGGTATTACCAAGAAAAATGTCCCCGAGTTAATGAGTTTCAATGATGACGACCCATAGGAAGGTTTGGAGCGAGGAGAAAAATCGGTTGCCACAGCTAGAATGGTTGCTATGGTCACGTACACTCGAGAAACGCATGAAAAGATCGGACGCCTAGAGGACCACATGGAAATTTACTTTGAGTATGTCAAGGCTAGGGACATGCAACTCAACGCCTTCTTCAAGGAGTTGCTTCCGAACAAAAACACCAGATTGCCGACCTTCCTCAGTGTCATCCTCAAATACAATGCGGGCGGCAACACATTCCATGCCTCGACATCGCATGCCCCTCCAGAAGTTCCCCCAGAAGTACCCATTGACGTGCCACCACTAGCAACTCAAGTACCACCCGTACCAGAGGAAGGCCAAGGCGACACAGAAGAATTCCTCAGCTCCTTCTCCTTTTCAACCTCTGGACGCAGTAATGATACTTCACCCCACTTCTTCACCGATGAAGATTTTACTCCAGCACCGCCGCAACCTACGCAGCATCCCATTCCGTCCCCTGTCAGTCAAGCTACACCAGTCCCAACAGTAGTTCCTAGCCCAGTACCAGTTCTAGTACAACCAACTACTACTGCCGAGCAGTCAACTCCAACACGAGCCTCATCCAGCAAGAAGCGCTACAAGAGAACCGCATGCCGTATACTTCAGCCATGTCCCTCACTAGCAGTAGTAGACTCGGGATCCGAGAGTCCCTCTCCTCCCAAACGAGGGTGTCCAACCAAGCCACCCCATCACAGTGAGTTTCTATTTTACTTTTAGTTTTTCTTTTTCGCATCTGCATATAGATTCATGTAGTTTTAATTTAATGCATTGAGGATAATGCATCCCTCAAGTTTGGGGGAGGTATTGTACCATATTCTACCATATTTTGTTAGAAAGTAGTTGATGATAATTGGTTGAAAATTTTGATTGTCATGACATAAGCAGGTTAAGGTTATTGTTAGGAATGAATTAGGGATGCCCAATGATGAATGCATAATTTGATTGCCTAAGCCAGAATTATTGTTAAGACTGTCTAAAGAAGAGAACCAACCTTAGGCCTAATTCTTTGAAGTTCATAAGCATGATTGTAGGCTGTCATTGTTTCTGGTAATATGTAAAATTTTTGGAAAAGAACATTCTGCTTGTGGAGACTTCAAAAATATTTTAATGGTGAAGTAAAAACTCTCTAGTGTTTGAAAACTTGAAAAATAATAAGGGACACTCCTCTGTGCAAAGGCATAGACATAAAAACTCCATAAGAAATTAAGATTAGACACGACATATGAGTGAATGAAAGTAGTCATGGGATGACTCTGCCCGACTAGCTTGGGGGTGGAAGGTATGCTCCCTTTCACCTAGAGAGTGGATCGGTAGTTGTGATGAGCTGACTCCCCTGCCTGAAAAAAATTGATAAATAACTAGGAGTATAAACTAAGCCTGACAAATAATTTGTTGCCTTGACAAACAAGAAGTGCTTACTTAAGTTATCTAATTACCTTTATGCAAAGACTGGTACAATCACACACACACTATAGCAAAGAATCCTGATTAGGGAAGGGACTTGACTTACATGACTATCAAACATGTTGAGGCCAAACAATTTTTGTTGAGGGCTGAAATTTCAAACCATATGATTTCCTTAACTCTGCTTTGCCATGACAATTTTGATTTTCTTCTAGCTATTGTACACTGCTTGAGGAAAAGCAATAGCTTAAGTTTGGGGGTGTGATAACTCCGTAAAAAGACTTAATTTCTAGTCTTTCCACATAAGTTATTGCTCTTCTAAACAAAGTATGCATAGCATTTTAGTTGCATATAGGTTACATTAGCTTGTGGTGGATGAATTTTGCTTAGGAAAGATTTATTTGGTTTGACTGATGATGCTGAGGAGAAAGGGTTGTTTGGATTGTGTTTGTGCAGGAAACTTACAGGGGAAGAACATTTCAGTCATGACAACATAAATTTGCAAAGGCCAACGGAACATATAAGAACGTGAGGAGCATATTTATCTCGTCGAGGCAAGATTTATCTGAGGAAGTATGAAGCAGGTGTGACGAAACCGCCTATGTCACAAGCCAGCTAGATGACCTACTTCACGTGCAAGCAAGCCTTAGTTATTCTGACAGCCGTATTTCCTTTTTAAGTCTGGACATTTATTTGACAACGGTTATTTAAGGAAACACCTAAAAGCATGCAAAGCCCTAGGAGATTTTTCCTTATAAATAATCAGTCGTAGCCTCCAAAGAAAGAAGACAAGGAAGAGGAGAGAAGAACTTTACCCAAGGCGTGAGCAAGCAACTGCAGTGCTTCTTCACCGTCTACCCATCGACCTTCCTTGGTGTCCTGCATAACCAGACGTTAGTAGAGCAGTGATCAGGCCTCGAGAGAGCGTGATCACCAAGGCAGACATAGTGCTGATTAGAATCATCGCGACAAAGCCCCTGGTTTTGAGAGTCATTCTTCTTTTGTTTAACTCTTTATCTATTTGGGGTTGTACTAAATGTTAAATTTTGGATGATCTTTGATAGCACCATGAATGTATTACTTGGTGTTAAACTTTGTGTTGCCTGAACAATAATTTTATGTTTTATGAATGATGAATTATGTTTTGTTTATGACTGTTTTGCTTGTTGTTTAAATATTTTGCCTTAACATTGTAAGATCATCGAGAGATCGCCTGAGGTTTTGGTAAAACATGTCTTGGCATTGTAAGAGCATCGAGAGATAACCTTTTGTCCAGATAGTGATTCTTATATTCGAGAGAATTAAGATAGATCAACGTAAGCAATAGAATGAATCCGGGATGGTGAAGTTCTAACTTGTCTACCTTAGAGATAAGGAGTAGTTTCAATCGACTAAAAGGGATAGACGCTAGATTAGGATAGACAATGCCTATAGTTTATGCTGAGAGGTATTGCTACAACAACAGATTGTAGTTAACGTTGAGGACTATTTCCATAACAACCGTCTAAGAATACCTAGTAATCATGTTGGGCAGCTTGAGCAAGTCATAATAATTCATTCTAGACTTAGAAATAATTGTTGACAATACAACGGTTTAGCATCAGTGCTCTGTGATATGTCTGATTATGTGAGGTTGTTTGCATTTGATTTAAATCAACACTTATCTTGTTTTATTTACTTTAGCATTCTGCATATTTATTTTCTCTCGACCAAACTTTCTTGCACTCATTAAATCACCTCTTTGATTTATTAGTTCTTAAGTTGACAACTTAGTAGGACTTAGTTTGTGATATTAGTTCTAGTTGTGGTGAAAATATATTTCTCGACCAATCCCTGTGGAGACGATACTCACTTACCCTATATTACTTGGATCGATTGTGTATACTTGCATAGATTTTCTTGCCTTAACATATACTTTTACAAGCGATCATGTTCTTTGAACACATCTTCTTTGATGGAAAAACATTCAATTTCAGGTTTAGGAGGTAATAATGATTCCTTGAGTGTTCTTCGGGTCATGCAACAACACAACACTTGAAAATATCAAGCCAAAAAGATAAACAAAGACAAGTTAGTATGTATCTATAATAACAAGAAAATAAAATGAGCAAAAACTAAACTTAAAATAACCAATTGCCAATCCCAAGCAACGGTGTCAAAAACTTGTTGCGTGTTGTAATGTACTATAATTGATATGAAAATTGTGCAAGTATACACGTCAAACAAGTAATAAAGTGATGAGTGGGTATCATTTCCATAGGGATTTGAGGTATATCAAGTAAAGTTTATGAACACAAGATATGGATGAAAATATTGTTGTATGAAGAGGTGTAAACAAATAAAAAATGTTGTAGCAATAGCTATAATCAAAACTAGAAATTCAAGACGAGATAAAGAAGTGTCCTCACATGTGTGGTTTCTTCACTAAAGATAAAAAGGCTAGCTCTATTGCGGATTCCTATGATTTGTTTTCATGAATGACAAGTAATATCCAATTAATACTACGTTTGGCAGAGTTTTCTAAAATGTTCCTAAACTATCTCTAGGTTGAAACTGGGAACTAAAATTCTAAAGCAATATCACTCAGCTTAAACCTAGCAGATTACTACCCCTTAAGCTCTACCCCTTTTAGTTGTTGACACTCTCTCTTTATCTCTAATGTGAGCTAGGGTTTACCTCTCAGTACAATCCTATTGTTCACTTAGATCTTAAACCTAACTCTCTCAACCATTAGGCATCAAATGGAGATTTAGGCTATCTATCGAAAGCTCTTACAAACCGACACAATAAGCACAATGAACGAAACATGTAAAAACATAATAATGCCATCACATTCATTCCAACAAAATATAGTCATCCATCAATAAATTAAAGCCAAATTAGTTAGTTCATGGTTGGGCAAAGTTCAACAAATATCTTCGATCATTACAACCTATTTTCAAAATATTGAAATAAGTAAAAAACACTAAGGAGTAGGAAACTATCAAAGTTGTCGTTAGACTTTTGTACACCACACAAGCATTGCTGCTTCTCTCAAAGGTCAACAAGACTGTGCCTTCGAATCTACCAACAATGAAAGACACGTGAAACTGAAGAAGAAGGGTGGTCACCTCCCACTTTTCCTCTCTTTCTTAGCTCACCCGAATCTCTCTTTTAAATGAAGGCGTCTTGTTCTATTTATAGTGGAGGTGCCTAAGGTTTTGTGCCCTTCATTATTTGGGTGCCCTAGGGAAAATATTCCCTACATTTGGGGCACAACTATCTTATAAGTTCATGTGTGATGAGCTGTAAAATATCTTTATCTTCTTGTCTTCTAGTGAGCCTAGAAATGCTATTCGAAATGCTACAACGTAAAATATCTTTATCTTCTTGTCTTCTAGTGAGCCTAGATATGCTATTCAAAATGCTACAACAAAGTTCCATCTCCAAGTAGTCCTCCTTACTTATCCTGCACATCATCACACTAAATGAACCTTCCTCCATAGCAGCACTGAAATAAAAAATAAACAAAGTAAAGCTTGCAAACACCACCATATGCAATAAAATGATCTATATGCAACTATATGTGATTAAATGAGCTTGAGAACACACAAAAACTTAAGTAAAAAGGGCATAAAATATCGTGTTTTTACAAGGTTAAAACCATCCTGACAACGTGGGAATGCAACTCCGAGAAAGATTATTCTCCTTGGTATGATCTTTTTTGCTAACCAAACTCCCCTTAATATAATCGGATATGCTCACATGGTCATAAAAATGGGTAAAATGACCACTTAAGTCCCTCTCAATTTTAAAAATGATCAGATTTAATCCTTAAAAGGAGAAATCTTGTCCTCGTTAATTTTAAATTAAATGATTAAGGGCAATTTTTAATATTTTTTTACAAAATTTAAATAATTTTAATTGATTTAAAACAAATTTAGTCATGGACACTTGTATATTATGTTAATTAAATTTTAGTCTGACGCATAATTTACACAAATTTTAAATATTTAATTTTTTTTAAAGAATTATGAGTAAATTGACATAATGCATTAAGGTTAAGAGATAAATTTCTTATTATATTGATCAAAATAATGTAAAATTAGCAACAACAAAATTAGAGTCATGATTAAATTTTTTTAATTAGACAATATTAGTGAAATGTTGATGTTAAAAAAATTGAGGAATTGGAAATGTTGAGTTATCATTTTGGGAATTGGTGTTGTTTCTATAGTGTAAGTAAAGTCGTCGGGTGATACAGTTAACTTTGGTGAAAGTCGTCAAGTAAAGTCATGTAAGTAACTTCCTTTGTTGCTTTTTAACAAGTAAAC